TAAACCTGTGCCTGCTGATGAATGATTTATCAGTGTCAGCATCTTTTGCTATGTAACCAGTAGATTTTACTTTATATGTTGTTACATTTGAAATAGCTGACCAAGACTGTGCTGATTAATTAAAAGCGGAATTAATTACAGAGCTCTGCACTGATGAAACATTGCTTCTTTACACATAAGCAGTCCATATTCTGCTGCCTTGGAAAAAACAGAAATCAAAATTCATTTAACAGAATACCATTAAAAAGTATTTTGAGAAATAATCATTGCTGCTCTATTTCAGTGTTTGTCGATTGTTGTTTTGTTTGGTTTTTTCTTTAACTGAGCATCCTCCTTCACATCAAAAACATGGAAAATTGATTTTACACAGAGCTATCTTTGTATGGTGTTATTTGTCATTAGCATTTCTTTTAAAGAATAATTTAAAAAGTCCCAACTAACCTTCTGGCTTTCACTGATTCTTTGGGCTATTTAATACATGAAACTTGTGCAGAAGTAGAACAACTTTGAATAAAAGATCACTTAGAAGGAAATAAAAAGGAACCTCCCCTTGCCTTGCAGTTGAACACTTTGCCTTTCATCATTCCCTAAATTGATGATGCATGTATGAGGGCTTTATATGCAAGTAACTTCACTTACTTGCTTGTGTTTATTAGTAGTGGTGGGAAATAGATCCTTGAGATTTGTAGACAGTCATGGTAAACAGCTGTTTCTTTAATCCTTAACCTTGAAACTATCCTCTTTGCTGTAAAACTCTCACACTATCTGTCTTTAGCTCTGTGGCTGTAATGAATACAGTTCTTGTCAAATAAAGTAATCAAAGAAAAAATTTTAAAAAGGTAATAAATAAATAAATAAATAAATATGTGCAGTGATGATGTAGTCCAGTAACTTAGAATTATACCATTATGGTAAAGGAGCTTGTGCAGGAGCTCAGAATATGCATTGAATTTGCATTTTAATATACGATCACCTCACCAAGAGAAATGTCAGTCAATGGAGAAGATGCATAAACCCAAAGGATTTTGAATGAAGGCTAAAAGCCCCTCAGGAGCGGTGGATTTGTAAACTTCCAGATCCATAAATGAAGAGATACTACTTTAATCACATTCAGTGCATTGAGAGCTGGCTTATTCAAGACTGACCTGGTCATTTAAGTAGCATTTCTCTGGTGGAAAATTTACTCTTGGATTAGGTATCATCATCTCAGTGATTATTTCTGTGAATGTCAAAGTATCTGCAAACCTCAAATGTTGATTATTAGAAAGCCTGTAAAGCAAAGCTTCCTTATGTGACTATTTCAGTTTACTCAGCTGATTAATCACCAGCAATTCATCACAAAAGCCATTTATTTAACTTAAGAACTGTCAGAGGCACAAGTTTTTTATCTCTTTGCCTGTTCCTGGTTCTTCGGTAGAAAAACCTATGTGCTGTCTTTTGTATCTTACTTTAATTAACAAAATAATTTTGAATAGTATCAGTGGTCACAAAACATCATTTTGTAAAATAGATGAGTCAAATTAAAACAAATTAGCAGAAATATATTTATTTTATAAAAGTTTTTAGTTACACCTGACATTAATTTGACCATCTGAGTGCCTTTTTTTAAAAAATTTGTCTTGCATGAACTTAGCTTTTAGAAAGCAAAAATTTAGAAAATTCATTTATTACTGCTACTGCTAACTTCAATGAGAAATTTTCCTATTTTCAGTGTGTTCTTAAGTACCATCACAAACAAGAACTATGGATCATGTGGTTGGTACACTTTTTCTGTTACAGTACCAAAATACTTTTAAATTGTGAGTTTCTAATTCTGCGTTATTAATCTTTCTCACAAACAAACAAACAAACCCAGCATGCTGAGCACTTGTGGTTCATGGGCGACAATCTTGAGTAATTTTGCGAGAGTTAGAACATTTAAGCTGGTAGTCTCAATAAATTTATTTTAAATTAAATAAAATTTACTTCCCTAAATTCGAGCAGTAATTTCGATTACATACAGTGGCCTTAAACTGTTATTATTACCTTAAATGCTTATATTGTGTTGTATGCTTTTGACCAGCTACTGCAACATTGTTTTGCTCGTGGATGGTTAAAAAACTTCTAGAGTTAAGACATTTTAGCATTTCTTGCCATCCACTTTTAACGTTTTAATGAAATTTTCAACGTCGTATTTTGTGAACATAAAGGATTAGTGTGAGAACTTGAATCCTTGAACTGAGCTAGCAAATTCAGTGTATTATTACTAACTCTGAAATGGTAATATATGAAAGAAAACCTAACACTTTTTATTAATTAAAAATTCTGCAATTTGTATTTATTTAACAAGATAAGTGTTCTCTATTCAAGGTGATATCTGTTTATATAAAAAGATACAAACTAATTTGACTAGAGGCATTTCGGTGTGCTTAGCATTAATAACAAGTAACTACTGACAACATGAGAAACAGATAGTTTATAAAGGGCACTGCTGTATTTTTAATATTTAGTGCAATTCTAAAAGAAATTTCCCCCAGTAAAAAAAAAAAAAAAGTTTATAAATTAAAGTTGCTCCTAGAATTAGTGACTAAGGAGAATTAAAGGAGTGTATATTATTTACACACTGGGTAGGAGGGCCATTCCAAATGCTGGAATCCAAACGAAGAAGCTAAATGATGCAAAAATAGAGGCAGTGAAAAGACTAGCAAAGTAATGTGGGAATGTTAGATCATTATTAGAATATCTGAATAATTATTAATTATTTTTGAGAAGAAGCAGTGAGGAAAAGCAAAATTTTACAGTGATGTATTAAAAGACTGTACTCTGCTAAGGACTTATTTGTTTCCTTAATTTGATATTAAAGGTAATTTACTCAGTATTCTTTATTCCTGTGCTTTATGAAATATTATGAATTGTGTGGTATATAATTCAAGATTTCTCTCCTTCACTGTTTTCTAATATTTTTCAACAAAACTACAGAGGCTTAGGCAGGGTTCACAGTAAGGGATTTTGCACAGATGTTGGAAGGAGCTTACAGAAGAGGAAAATGTTTGTGACTAATCCTTCATCTATGTTTAGAATCTGGCAGGAACACAGGGTGTATTTCATAGAGGAGAGATAAGGTACAATATTTAATAAATCTGTGAAAATAAAATGTACCAAACAAGTCTTGTAAGCTGTTATTTTTAATGGCTGCTGTCATTTACTTATTTTACAGTAATATATGAAGAGTAACTGACATTATTATATCAGGAATCTCTCCTGTCCTCAGTTCAGGTGAAGGATGATATTTATCCTTTCATAATGAAGCTTTCCATCAGCATGATTTCTGTGATTTTGTTTAATCAAGGAGCCTAATGGTTAGGGTCCCTTAATGTGACTGAATGTTATCACCAACAAAATATGAACCTCAATTAACCGTATCTTAAGAAAGAGAAATAGAGAATATTTGTTCATGTAGGTGAATGCTAATTCATTACAGAACTGATGGTTCATTCTTATTTTTGAGTACAGTATTGATTACAGCATCTGTTGTATTACTCAATTGTATTTTTTCCTAGTACCCACAGATGCCCACACTGCTAACTCGAACTTTTAAAATATTTTTGATGGAGCTTGTCTGATTAATTTTCCTCCTTCATTTCTCAAAGTTGTTTAGAAAATAATTCTTTTTAATTGTCCTTAAAGTAATTATAGACAGAAATATTAATTCTACTTCAAAACTACTACTGCTAACAGTGATAGTGAATTTTTCCAGATTTTTTATGCGTTTGGAATGTATTGTTTTAGGAATAATAGTACTTTTCTGAGGCATTATTCTTTCTTAGAAATGTTTTCAAAACCAAAGGAGAGCTATTTCCAATACAGTTCCACGAATGAGTAGGGTTATTTAGACAAAGTGGTGCATGGACTTCAGCTCCCTCTGTATTTATTGAACATCCTTCTTAGCTTTTGAAATCATAGCAATGATTTCACTAGAGACAGAGCAAGCTTTTCTTAAATTTCTTCCACAAGCTTTTAAGTAAAGTATTTTTTCTGCTGAACTGAGTGAGGTCCTTGCTTCAAAACCAACTCTGGCTACAACAGGGAATATACTACTCAGTGGAACTAAAAAGAATTGGCAGAGTTTGAAGGGTAGGTTTCAATTTTTCTTTTTTTTTTTTTTTCTTTTCCATTAGAAAGTTGTGAATATGAAATATGAAATACTAAGTCCGTAGCAGTTCATGGAAGCAAAATAATATGAAAATAGCTTAGGATTTTACACAGGAACTGTAAAATACCTAGAATAACTGTAGGAAAATAGTCTTGCCATGTGGTCATGTATGCAAGTGTTAACATGTGGTGTGTGTGCAATGAAAACCTCCTCTTGCTGTTAATTTTTAAAGCCTCTACAGGTCTGGGGTCAGAAGCACAATGAATATAGAAGAAGTGTATGAAAAATGAAATAAAAAAAAAAACTAAAACAAAACAACAACAACAGTCAAGTGTTTATATAAATGCAGTATTCAGCAGCTAATATTAATTTCATTGCTCAGTTTAATTTATTGGACTTGCATGGATGTATTCCAGGGTACCAGAATATTTACATGTAAATAATTTCTAAGGTGTATAGCAATTAAAAATGAGAAGGTGAGTGTACTGGAACCAAACTATTTGGGAAAAAGCATTATTTATTTGTATTTGTTTGATTATGAGTATAGATGTAGCTAAGATTTCCATTTGTCTTACTGCTCTGAGATGCATTGGAATGATTATTTCAAGATACCTGTGTAAACTCCCCAAAGACAAAATAATACATATTTTGCATAGGCTTTTGATAAGCCTTTAGGGAGGTTGCTTCTCTTCAGAAATCATCATCAGACTCTTCCAGTCTAAAGTATGCTATTTTGTACAGGTACATATTACAAATATGTGATAAGTTCCAGTCTAAGTTCCTCTTTGTTGTTGGGTTTTGTTTATTTTCAGTAATTCCATCAAGCTAGTGAATCTGTGCTCTATATTTATCAGCACATGGCTGACAGCAGCTGGGTTCATACATTTGGTAAGTATATTTGAAAATACTTCATTGACTTTTTCTCATGGATCATCTGCACTCCAAGCTACTTTATTACCCGAAATTACTTTGCTCTGGATAATCCCTTAACAAATCAGTACAGTACAATAAGAAAGACATCACAGTGCCCCAGATTTTAGACCTCTACTCAAAACGAATTCTGAATAGTAAGAAATACATCATTAACTTCAACAATAAAAAATGAGACTTGGACTGATGCAACTTCTTGACTGATTCCAATGTAGCAGTAGGTGGCAGTGTTTCCTAAATAACTGCCAGGAGTGCTTCCTGGAAGGGATTGGCAGAGCTGAAAATATGCTGAGGTGCTCATGGGAAATCAGGGATTGTGCCAGAAGGCAGTTCTGAATTTCCACGAGAAGCAATGGGATTGCTAACATTGCGGGTAGCAGGTGGATTTGCTTCAGAGATTGTTTCCTTCTCTTTTGGTTTTAATTTTCAAATTTTTTTGTTGTAGCTTTCAGTCACTGATAACATAGATTTTTGTAATAGGTTTTTAATCTGCACTTAATAGCTGAAAACTGTAATACAGTTAGTATCAAAATGCATATGAGTTCATAAACGTGAATATTCATATATTATGATAGGTATTGTGTATTTTAAACTAATAGCTTTTATGGATTTGTTTGGTAAATATAATTACATATATTTAAGCATTTGTCCTTTAAGTACCTGTTATGTTCAAATTAGAATCTGAAAAATTTCATGCAGCTAGTAGTAACAAGATATTCAAGAATGGCTTTAGACTTAATAGTATAATTTAATGGTAATGATGTTAGTCCAGAACAATTTAATTGACTTCACTGGCATTACCGTGAGCTGCATCCATCTATATAACATTAAATTCAGAAAGTTTATCTGGTTATACCAGATAGTTATTTTTCACGTCTACAAAGACACACTGAAATTTTTGAATTTTTCATTTATTATATACTTTTCATTCATGGATGACAACATTTTTACACTCCTGGGCAAATTTGGCATTGTTATCAGATACATTAGCTTTTTCTATTTTTGAACAACACAAAAAAAAAAATCTTTTAAAAGATTGTATTTTCTAAGGCTTGGATTTTGATGATGGTTTTTGTTGTGGGTGTTTTGTTGTTGTTGGTTTTTGCTGGATTTTTGCTTTTCAGCAGAAGTTTCTCTATTCCACTGTAGGAATCCTCAAACTTTTTTCTGTGGAACAAATCTTAGAGAGCATGCTCCTTTCCCACTGATAAAATTATAACTTGGTTACATACAGTAGCTGGCTTCTTGAAAAATAAATAGTATATCACCAAACATAACATGTCACTAATGCCTTTAATAGCTACATGGTGCTTTAAAATAAAAACATTAAGAAGTATAATTGGATTATAAGTAAAATTCACTCTGAAGAAGTTCTGAACAAATTGCTGTAAAATTAACTTACTTAGCTGCATTAACAAAATATATTATTTAGTGGTGAAAAGAACAGATACTTTTCGTAAATACTATGAGTGTAAAGGCTGTGCATATTGCCAAAAGAACTGTAATGCTATAACATGGGCAGAGGTAAGTTCATAATAAATCACAGGAAAGGATTCAGAGTTTATAATACTTGCCAAATTTTATATATATATATATATGCACACACACACAAAAGACACATACATGCACACATATATATTAGTTGAGTTTATTTATGGTACAACTCCATTACATTAATTATATTTTATATTTTAATGTTTTCTTGTACATTTTAGGTGGAGAACTCAGGGGATCCGTGGGAAAATTTCCAAAATAATCAACCACTAACATATTGGGAATGCGTTTATTTACTGATGGTTACAATGTCTACTGTTGGCTATGGAGATGTTTATGCAAAAACAACCCTTGGTCGCCTTTTCATGGTCTTCTTCATTCTTGGAGGATTGGTAAAAAATGATTTATTATTATTATTATTATTATTTACTATTATTATCATTCCAGCTACCTTAATACTTGTTCCTATATATCTCCTGTATAATTGCTGTAATTAACAAAATAACAGTATCTGTTTTAGTGAATTAAAATTAGTTATAAAACATTTAAATATGTTTAATACACTTTTTCTTTTTAATAAGTATATTGGTGGAGTTTGTCAAATTAGTCCAGTTTGGGGTCAGAACTTTTCTAATTCATTTAAATGAGTAATCCATGTTAATACATTAAGAGCCTTAATATTGCAAGTTACAATGTTATTGGTAGTCCACAGAAATAGTTTAGTGACTATAGTGTGTTTTTTTGAGGCTGCTATTGATACTTAAAGGCACTTTGCGGTTTCAGAAGTCCTACCCACCCTTCTGTGTTCCTTCCCAGAATTCCAACAAACACCGTGGCTTTGAATTGTCTTAAAGAGCATCTTGCCTGATCCAAATGATGGCAAATCACACTCTCTTTAATTTCAAACATCCTTTCATGTCATGTAGCATAATTTTTAACTCATAGTTTATCACCTAGACATTAACCAGTATCCCTTTGTGTCGACAAATTCTCACGTTCTTTGTCCTTTGTACATAGCACCAAAATTGCTAATTGTCTTATGTCAACTTTTCTATTTACCAGTGTTAGTAATATTATAGGACCTGTGGCAATGTTATTCTCTAAAACAGCAAGGTTTATTTTAATGTTTACACTGGGCAAGGTAAGTGCTTTCTGGATGACTCACTATATATTTTGCATACACATGTGCATATTGTTACTTTCATATTTTGATTTCATATATACATACATCTTACAAACATGATATGTATATAACTAGTGTTACGAATGCTATATATGATACACACAGTGTGTATATATATGAGCATAAATATGCATTCCCATCTGTGTTTCGTGACATATAACGATATAGACCATGTCAACTGGCAGTAGCTCTTTGAAGTATCCAGCCACAAGGAAGATGTTTGTTGGACAAAACATGGCAGAATAATTTTTATTTTCTCCTCAAAACCTTTTTTCTATCATATGTTTTTCCAGTCTTTTTAAAAACATAACCTTTTGGAAAAGATTTTTTTTTGGGGGGCAGCAGGGTGACCTTTTGTTTCTTGACTGGGGGGATAACCCCTAATTCCATCTTGGTTTTGTCTTCTTTTGAATCTAATTGTGGGGGGCGGGAAAGTCTGTCTTTTAAAATAGAAATGTAAGAGTAACAAAAATACTTGGTTTTTGGTTTTGCTGTGGAGCTTGGATAGATTTTTTCCCCTACTCTCTTCAGGAAGAATCAGACATACCTGTATTTTATGATTAGATAGAAGTTTGAATTAGTTTTGTTCCTGTTTTGTTTTGTGTGCCTATTTTTCCTCTTTTGACCATTTTCTTAATTGATAAGGTGTGCACCTTCTCCAAGACAAACTTTTACATTAAGCCCTCTTGTTTTGTTTGATAAGAACTTTTACATTTTTTGAATTTTCTTTTTAAACAACTTCATAGATCTAATTCTTTTGCATTTTCAGATCTTAAAGATACATATCTTCTGAAAATATTCATCATCCCCCTTTCTTTGGCCTCTCTTTTTAGTCTTTTCTTCTGTCTCCTATCTTCTTCTTAGGCCATGTTTGCCAGCTACGTCCCTGAAATCATAGAGTTAATAGGAAACCGCAAGAAATATGGTGGTTCCTATAGTGCGGTTAGTGGAAGAAAGTAAGTATCCCAAGAGGCTCTGCTGCCTCTGCTGCAGTAGAACACTCTCTGCATGCCATTTTCTTTTTTTTTTTGTGTTTTTGTTTCATGCATGTAGGCAATGTTTGCTCGCTACGTGCCAGAAATTGCTGCTCTCATCCTTAATCGGAAGAAATACGGCGGGACTTTTAACTCAACCCGAGGCAGAAAGTAAGTCAAAAAAGACCAGGTGTGATTGTGTGACTTTTAAGAGCCCCTGAAGGTGGTAATAGCTGACTCACAGCTTATAAGGCTGTATTTCTTGATATCAGATGTTACCACTGGAGAGTTGTCACACTATAATTAGAGACCTGGGCTATGCTATGATACAAGTCACAACATTTTGTCCCTACTTCAAGAGAACGTGGATACCACCAAGACAACACTGACATATCTTGTAAAAAATGCTGCTATTGCGTGTGCAGTTAGCTTCTGGAACAAGGTTGACTAGTTACGTCAGTTTTGAGTGTCATATTATCATGTGGTCATTTCTTAACTAAATTACAGTTATAATTCACATGATTTTCAAACAACTCAGTTCTTTAGAAAACCTAGATTTACTGGAGTGCAAAACATGAGATTTATGTTGATCGAGTTATTCCATCAGACTGCTGATGCCAGAAGTCTGAACGTGCCATTTCTCATTATTCAAACAGCAGATTCAGATCTCATGCAACTCCTTTTGACAGGGATTTTGAAATGATTCTCTTCCACACACTGTATACAGTCTGTACTAAGAAGAGGAAGGAGTAGCCTTAGTGTCAATGTAGTGTGGAAAAAAAAAAACACCTATAAAAAAAAGGTGACAAACTATATAAAAAGATTATTTTTACCTCATAGCAAAAGTTAAAATTTTGTTGGAACACATTTGCTCATTCCATTTATGTTGAAAGCCTCCTTGTTTTGTTGACCAGGTTGAAATCATCTCTTTCTGGCATTCCCAGTGTGTAGATCTGCTGGGATAAAGCTTTTAATGAAATAGATGTACTTGGCAATATAGTGATTTCTCCTCAATATCACTTCTAGTGTTGCCATCTTTTGTTTCATTACATATCATTGTGACATTCACTGGTAGAGACATATTTGTCTCTAAAAAAGACTAAAAGAATAGTCCTATAGAGTCCTAGAAGAAGGTTCTGCAAGCAACGGATCTAATTGTCCTTCTCCTTACTTTAAAAAGATACATTTTTTACATTATTCCTTTCAAATCATCAGCTATGCATCATTTTATAAATGTGGATTACGGTTTTATCAAGTTGTTTCTTCTCTCTGTACAGCAGAAAGACTCTAAACAGCTTATACTATTGTATGTTCAATAATAAACAATTAGATTACACAATTGAAAACTTCAGTACTTCCATTTTTGAGATACTCTCAAATGTATAAAGTTGTTGGGTTTTTTGTAAACACTGAGGTTGGAAACTTGAATCACAATTCACTTTTTCAGATTAACAAAATGCCTTAGTTTATTTCTGAGATAGAGTAGTATCATTAATTTCTCTAAATGTTTGTTAGAGGCTTACTCAGTTACATATTTGTAAATCAAAGAGAGAAGTTTTTCCAACACAAAACTTACACCTTTGTTTTTGAGGCTCCAAAGAAATTATAGCATAGGGAAAATCAGTTTAAAACTACCTTATGTAGAGTTTTAGTCCTTCCCCCTCTGCATTGTCACTAGTACACAGCATTGCTCAGATGTCTCTAAACTTGGATCTGATCTTCAGTCAGAGCCCCACATCCTGAAAAGCTCAACTCCAGATTAGAGGCTTCTGCTAGCTTTGGGGCATGCTTAATTTTATTTTTTCACCTTTTCTTTTTGCTTTATTTATATGCACTATCTGTTCACTTTTAGCTCACTCTGCAGTCAGTGCTTTCTCTGCTATCTCTATTGCCCATGTAACGTCACTTGAAACTCAGCTCTGTCATCAGCATACAAGCTGTTCAATTTACTTTATGCATTGTTTTCTGGTTCAGTTATTAATTACTGAGTAGTTTAAAGATGTCCTTTGCTCATGTGGGTCTTTCATCAGAGAATCTAGGCTTGGGAACTGCCCAGTAAACAGCCATTATCACCCTTTTTTTGATGTTGCTATTGCAGTCAGTTAACAAGATTGATGAAATGTTATGTTTGGCCAAACTTTAAGTTTTCATTTGGAATTCAGTATTGAGAGAATGCGTTGTCAGAACCAATAAGCGTTCCTTTGCTTGGGATATGGGCATGTGGTAGTAATTAGCAATACTAAGGTCTTTAGTTGAGCAACCAAGCATAGATTCTGGCAGCAAACATAATGAGAAACTGCAGTTGTTCTGTTTCTAACATCAGAAAGCTTCTAGATAAAATTAAATACATGTACAAAATGAAAGCAACTAAATTTTATTGAAAGATGTAGATTCAACTCTTAAAACAGCAATTATGTATGCTTCTTAACTTTCTCAAAAAATTGATAAATACATGGAATCTGCTTTGTAGCATTTATATATATGTTTATACATGTTGACTCATAAACTATGTCTGTGGAATTATATGTGTCTCTATGATTATTAAACATTTAGATGGGAAGTTAAAATTAACAAATGGTTATGTGTGTTTTGAGGATTATGCTACATTGCTTTAATGCTAAGGAGAGAGCCTTGCTGTAGAATTTTAACTATTGAAGCAGCTAGAATGCATGCATAAAAATTATTTCTGCAAACTCCACCTACTAAAGAAGAGAAGCAACCAACACTCCAGCAAGTCTGATCACACATTTCATTTTGGTTTTCAGCCAACAAAGTACTCATAACGTATATACGAATCAGTTTGCACAATAAAGAAACTTACTTCTCTCATAGATGAGAGTTTGGAAACAAGAAATTTGAAGGCAGTGTGCAATTACTAGATACAAGGTAAATTTGTTACAGAAGTCCAGGGGGAATTTTAAATATTAAATTTAATTTATGATCCCTGCTTTGCAACATATTCGGGTAATGAGACTGCTAAGGTCTCATGGAACTCAAAGCTGGGATTTTATTATAGCCTTTGGTTAAAGTTTCACTGATCAAATAAAGAATAGTACCCACTGTTGCTTATATAGCATAATGAATATCAATATATCTATACAAAATATGACTGAGACCAAGCACACACATTTAATGACAAGTAGGGTAATGACTTTGGAACAATTAGAACCTAGTGCAAAAAAAAAAAAAGTTACAAAAAAGGTAATGATCCTGGTCTTGAATTAAAAATTTGTAAGTGAGATCTACTCTGTAGGTAATGAGATGACTGCTAAACAGCTGTTTTGCTACTGGTTACATATCAACTTATCAGAAGACTGCAATGTTTTTATTTTGTGCCCTGATACAGTAGAATTGGATCATCAGTAGACAAGAAAAACCGTCCTTTTTACTTTAGATATGTTCAAAATAAACAATTGCTTCTTGCTACAGTTACCACTAAATACAAATTATACACAGAAAACCAGACAGAAAATGGTCGATACGAAATATATAACTGGGAAATAAAATTCAGGCATAAGAAGCAATGAGAACTGTAGAAACTATTATTTTGTAATACTATTAAGAGATAGCTTAGTATAACAGTGATGTGGCTTCCAATATTTTCCTCACTTAGTCGTACATAGTTTTCTGTTCTTTCACATGAGCAATTCAGTAACTAGTGTTTCTCCTTTCTGTGCATTTCCATGCAAGAATTCTGTAGTACTTGATTTTACATTTTGGGAAACACTTTTTGCAAAGCAGGTATTCAACACAATTTTCTTTGCATATTAGCCAATCTTCTGCTAATTTCTATAGAAAAAGTAACTTTTGCTGTATAGCCGTGGGTATACTTTAATTAATTGACTAGTAACTACCTAAGAAAGTTTATAACATATAGCAGTTTATGCTTTCTGAAGAAAATGCTTTTAAAATGCAAAGTAGACAAATTTATAGTGAAAGTTAACTCCTATTAATTGCTTCACCACCAAGCATTATGTCATCATGCTGAAAAACGTGGAATATTATGTAGGACATATCTCACTAAAAGATTTGGAAACTTACTAGATCACTAAGAAATAACTAATGAAAGCATATACTTGACAGAAATTGTACTCAGGTATATTCATAAACTGGTGAAAAACTAGTATCATTATTGTAAAGCAGTATGATTTTTCATGAAGAAAACAGACATTGAAAATTAAATTGTGAAAGCATTTTCATCAGCATTTAAATGTATACAGCTCACCTTCACTTTTTTAAAAAACTAGGATATAATACTTCTATTTAAACATGTAAAATGTATGTACATGGAGAAGGAAAAAATCTGACCTTTTATTATGGTATTATAAAAGTTCTATAGATTAGACTTTAGTTTATAAAATAATATATAATTTTATATATAAAAGCAGGGGAAGTTTAAGAGCCATTTTTCTTAATAATTTTAGAATCATAGAATCATTTAGGTTGGAAGAGACCTCTAAAATCATCAACTCCAACCATTAAGCCAACACTACTAAGTCCTCTGCTAAAACAGAATCAGAATCTGTCAGGGTTGGGAAGGACCACAAGGATCACCCAGTTCCAACCCCTCACGGATCTCCAAACAGACATGATGGTCTCCAATTTTGAGACCATCAACTGGTTCCCTA